GCAAATATAATACTTCTCATTTTGTAAGTGATGAAAATGAGGCCCAGAAAACGTACCTGACCTGTCAGGACCAGAGACAGAGCTCTTCCCTGTAGACAGAGGGTGTTGTCTGCCCCCCTCCCCTCACACGTAGAGGGGATTCAAGGTCTTTGGGGTACCCTGGAACTCCAGGAAAAGGTCCCACATCTTTGTCTCTACTTTTAGAAGTTGGCGGGAAGGGATCTATAAGAAAGCTTTCTGAGATAATGTTATTGGGAAAGGGGCTGCTTGGGGAGGGTTGTGCTTTGAGGGCAAAGGAGAGAGCTGCTCTCCTGATCTCCCCCTTGTTGGGGAGAACATAATGCGGGGTAAGAGCTGAGGCCAGTGGTAGGAGTTAGGCCTCGAGGTAAACATCACCTCAGCTGGAGTAAAGCACCCCAGGGCTTTGGCAGTGTGGGAGGGAGGTCAAGGGAGACCCTGCAGCTTCCAGGACCCCCCACAGAGCTGATGACTGCAGCCTTGAGTCTCTCTTCTGGAGATTGCCCCAGACCCCAAAGCTGCCTGCAAGGACTCCTACAGTGTCCAGCCTAGGAGACGGAAGACTACAGCCCTATGGCCAAATCTGTCTGCCACCTGTTTGTGAATGGCCCTGGAGCTAATAATGGGCTTTACAGAGGAACAGGTCCAAAAGATTTGATGATAGGGAACACTAACTGTGGATCCCAATTAAGCAGAATATTTCCCTCCCCACCAAAAGAAATTCCATTCTTTTTATTGGGAGAACTATATTATAAAAAACAGACAAAACCAAAATAAAACAAAACTCCATTCTTATCATATTTTCAATTTCATTAATTAAGAATGTGTTGAAATTGTGTTTTCTCCTTTGTTATATAAGTACCTACATAATATCCTTGATTTTGCTTCCTGGCCCACGATGCCTAACATATTTATCACCTGGCCTTTGCAGAATAAGTGTGCCTACTCCCGATCTACTCCGGTAGAGTTTACTACTTGGGCAGCAACACTTTTAAAAAGTCAGTTAATATGTAGTGGGAGACTGGATATAAACAGGTCTAAGTGCAGGTGTAATTAGGGAAAAGGAGGAAGAAGGGGTGAGCAGAGGTCCGCCTGCCCCCCTTCCCTGCCTTCCCTCTCACAGCCCATGAGGAACCTCTGAGAAGGCCAGTTTTAGAACCACTGACCAACTAGGCCAGTCCTGTCCTCTTTAGGGAGTGCTGGGGTAGGAAGAAGGGAAAGGAGCTCTCTGGGTATTAGGGATTGGGTGTCTTGCACTAGCCATGGGGAACGTTACTTGGTTTCACCCTCTTGCAGCCCTATGGGGTGGTAGGTATTTCTCCCATTTTGCAGCTGAAAAAGCTAAAGCTTAGAGAACTTAACTAACTTGCCAACGTAAGTGTCAGAGCTGGGCTTTCAACCATGACTTCTGACTCCTGGTCCACTGTTCTCTTTGAGGTGCCAAACTGCCTAGGATTTCCTTCCTGCTTGTGACCCTCGGGTCCCCTCCAGCTCTATTGTTTAGTGCTCCTGGTGGTTTACTGGACAATCTGCTGAGAGCCCATTGTCCTGTGTCTAATCCGCTTCTGGGGCTGCCACTGCTTCCCTGC